ATTCTGTGTTTATTCTGATTCTACCTCATTACAGGCCTCTGTCTAGAGAGGCTAGAACATAGCCTTAGGAGGTGGAGAGACCTAGATAAATTCTGGCTCTGCACCTTCCCATCCGGGTGGTCTGGGGCCTTCTTTGGGTCTCATTTCTTTTTTAGAGGGGAAAAAATGTGGCTAATGATACTTAATTGCAGGGTTATTGTGAAATGTAGTAATAGAAGTGAAGAGCCTTACCGTGGTACCTGATAGGTAGCCGACATTCTACAAATCGTAGCCTATTTTTTAGTTGAAGTATAACAACATAAAATTCACTATTTTGACCATTTTAAAGTATGTCCAGAACAGTGGTTCTTAGTGTGTTCACAGTATCCTGCAGCCCTCTTCACTATCCAATCCCAGACCATTTTCATCAAACACACAAAATGCCTGTGAGCCACTAGGTGGTCACTTCTCATTGCCTCTCCCCCCGATGCCCCTGGCAAACATTAATCTACTTCCTGTCTCTGTGGATTTGCCTATTCTGGCATTTCGCACCCATGGAATCAGACAACACATGGACTTTGTGTGTGGCTTTTTTCACTTAGCGTAATGTTTTCAAGATTCATCATGTTGTAGCATCTCTGATATTTAATTACTTTTTATGGCTGCATAATATTCCATCATGTGGATATACCACTTTTTTTTTAATCTATTGAACAATTGACGAACAATTAAGTTGTTTCCACCTTTTAACTATTATGAGGAGTGTTGCTAAGAACATTCATGCACAAGCTTTTGGTAGATATGTTTTCACTTCTCTTGGGTGTACACCTGGAAGTGGGATGTTGGATCATAGGGAGATTTTATATTTCACATTCTGAGGAACTGTTAACCTGTTTTCCACAGTGGCTGCCCCATTTTACATTCCCACCAGGAGTGAATGAGGGTTCCAGTTTCTCTATATCCTCCCAACGCTTTGCTGCATCTCTTCCCTATTCCTTTCTTTTTTTGATTATAACCATCTTTGTGTGAAGTGTGCCATCTCATTATGTTTTTGATTTGCATTTCCCTAATGACTGATGGTTGTGAGCATCTTTTCATATGCTTATTGACTCAGCCTCTTTTTTTTATTATTCTTCCAGTAAATATTTGTGTTTGATGAGTCCTTATTGTATGGCCAGGCCTAGGATATGGGCCCTGCCCTGAGGTTACTCACACTCCAGTGGGGAAGGTAGACCTCATAGTAGATGATTACAACATAGTAAGAAAAGAGGCTACAGAGAGTTGTGTACGATGTGTATTGGGGCCTTTGAGGAAGAAGAAGGAGTTGCTGAGTGGAGGCTGAGTGTAGTTTGTCAAACAGACCAGAGGGGGAGGGTGACATTCCAGTTATACAGAAGAGCGTGGAATCTTGGTTATAGCTGGTGGAAGTGTGGCTTCCTGGTATCAGGTAGGGAGAGGAGCACTCCAGGCAGGCACTGGGCAGGTCTCCTCCCCAAAAAGCAAGCCAGACAGCAGGCTCTGAGCCAGCAGCAGGCTCTACTCAGCTTTGCCATCCACCATATACACAGGGCTCTGTTGCTTTCAAGGCACATACTCAGTTGATTTGATCCCCACTTGAGGTACATGTTATATCTCCATTTCTACCAAAAAAGGAAAAATGCCATTCACTGACATAGCAAGCTTGCCTGACTTCTTACCCCACCGAGTGGCAAGACTGGACTTGGAATCCAGGTTGTCTGACTCCTAGTTTTTTCCACACCTATTGGCCAGACCTCAGTTCCTCTTACCTTGACTTTCGAGGCCGTTTAGTCTCTGAGCCCCAGTCGCCTTAACTTCCTTCCTTGCCTCTTTTTCCTGCCTATAACTGAACCCTGTTTTGTAACCATTCCAGTCTAAATAGTTTCCCAACCTGCCTTTTTAGTTTCTAGTCTGTGTCCCTTTTGTGTGGTCCAGATTCTTACCATCCTTAAATGGCTATCCTTTTATGAGCACTGACTGCCCAAGTACTATCCACTCCCTTCAAGTTCTTAATAGAACTTGATACAGAATTGATCATCTTCACAGTATCCGGGCATACTGATCGAGTCACAGATGAGGAAGCAGGATCGGAGAAGTAAAGTAACTTACTCAAGATCATTCAGTAAGTAAAGAGTCTAGCTCAAATGCCATGTCCTCTCAAAAGCCTGCCATGGTTGCCCTGACCTCCTTTGCCCTTGAGATCCTATAGCACCTACTTCCCCCTTATTCAGACTCATTATCTGAGATCTTGGATTATCTTTTTCATTGATTTTTATCTTGTGCCCCCACAACTGGGTGTTCACTCTCCATGTTCTGGGGCCCAGGCTAGAACTTGTAAGTGTAAATTCTCAGTACATACTATGCTGAGGCGTAGGGGGAAATCCTCTGGACGCTGGTTACAGGAACTGGGTTCTGTTCACGTTTTGACCCTGACTTCTCTGACCTTGCACAGTTAAGGAGCTGTCCAGAATGAGCACCCTGCCTGTGCTGCTCTTCCTGTATCCCCCGTCCTGATTGTTGAGTGATGGCTCTGTGAGCGTCACCATCTGGAGCCTCAGTCTCCTCATCTGCATTATGAAAAGGTTGAACGCGATGATCTGAGGATTGTTCTTAGTGCAAATACTGCCTAGTTTTGTGCATCTGAACGATTGCCTCTCTCCAACCAACATGATCCTGAGCTACCAAGTTTCAGCTCAGGGAGGCGCAGAGCATAGCTTGTCATTTCTAGTTTGTTGTCTACATCTCAAACCCTTGCCCTTGAATTTGTCAAACTGACAACTAACTCTGGAGCTTTGCCCCAACACATTCAGAAGTCCTAAACACCCAGCTTCTCATCCTCTGTATCTATTTTTTCACATGTGAAAACGCCCATCTACCCCATTTTGGGATAACTTCATTTGAAATACTTTCTCTAGCTTTTATATTTTAGCAGCTTTTTGACTTAGAGTCTCCAGTGATTTATAGGAGAGGAAGCTGTTGCTCTTTTAGAAAGACCACAGTCCTTGCTGTTGTTCATGCCTAACTCATTGGAGGTATTTTATAGGCACAAAGAGAACAAAAACAAGCCTTTCTTGTGAAAATGGACCCTGGGGATTGCCCCTCCAGTTAGTGGGAAAGGCCGTTTCCACCTCTGATCAGGAGAAGGTTGTTAAAGACTAGTCGTTTTTCCTGGGCAGTTCTCTTATGCTCTGCACCCTTCTTAGGTCATTCCTTTATTATTTTTTTAAATTGTATCTTTATTCACCTTATGTTTAAGGAAATAAAAATGATTCTGAGCACGTTGATAGTGTCAGTTTTAATGATCTGTTCATTGAGAGCCTAATGTGTACCAGGCACTGTGCAGTGAGTTATGCGAATTTTTGCTGCCGTCCCCCCAGCTCCATTATGGAGCAGACCCCGGACCTCTGGGAGACTAAGGCCTCGAGTCTCCCTCCTGGCCCTGCTATGCAAAAACTGAGGTTCCCACTGAGGTCTCTCTGGCTCCAGAGGCCCACTCCTCTCCAGCGGGGGCTCCCTTCCTAAGACTGTTTGGGAAGATGTGGCATTTGACTACATTCTAGAATAGTTGTATGCTTATAAGCTTCCTTCTCAGCTTTACTAACAAGTTGTGAAGAGAGAAGCCTGGCTTGGGGGAAGTGTAAGAACATGTTTAACACACACACATATGCATGCACACACACACACTCACACATAAAGACCCTCAGAGACTGTGTTTAACCAGCTACCTGGCCATGTGCCACATCCAGCGTTGGGCAACATACTAGAAAGTGCATTGGGGATATAGCAGTGGGAACCTTTGAGGAGTTAAACCATAGCTGCCAGAGTCTCAGTTCAAGCCCAGAACACAAGACCCCAAAATATTTACCACAAGGGGCCAGTTCCAGGTTCAAGTTTCTACCTTTACAACTCTCCTCTTTGAATTTTTACTTTTGACATCTGCAGTGAAAGACGGATCTGGGGAATAAAGTCTGACATCTGTGCAGGAGAAAAAGAAAATCTCTTTTAGAGTGTCTGCAGTTGAGCTCAGAGTGAGGAAGTGAGGGGAAGTAACATCCGCTTGTATTTGTGTAGCACCTTCCAGTTCATAGTTCCTTCTGGCTGTACCCTTATCACACGTAAGCTCTGGGTGAGATGCCAGAGGCCTGTTTCTCCCTCCTGGCTCTGCCTCAGACTCACACCTTGGGCAAGCCCCTCTGTCCTCTGGGTTTGAGTCCTGTCAAATGAGAGACTTGGACCAGTTGGCCCGCAGGGCCCCTCAAGCTCTGTCATCCTGTGATCTGAAAGCAGTAGATTTTTTTTTAATTTTTTTTTATTTATTTATGATAGTCACACAGAGAGAGAGAGAGAGAGGCAGAGAGAGAAGCAGGCTCCATGCACCAGCAGCCCGACATGGGATTCGATCCCAGGTCTCCAGGATCACGCCCTGGGCCAAAGGCGGGCGCCAAACCGCTGCGCCACCCAGGGATCCCCCCTGAAAGCAGTAGAAAGGCAGTAAATGTTACCTGTTACTCTTCTTACATCTGTCTTACCTCAGCCTGTCCTGCGTCGGGACTGTGGGGAGGCTCCACCTCCATAAGAACCATCGTCCCTTTCATGCTTATTGGCACCTGCACTGGCAGAAAAACACCACGTTTTCCTGGGAATTCACTTGGCTTAGAAAGATCTTGATTGTTGAGGGGTCCATGGGCTACTTAAGCAATCTAAGGGCCATTCCAGCTCCAAGATTCCATAAAAGGCCACCCTTGAAGGTATACTTGGAGAAACCCTAAAGCAAAATCATCGGATATTATTTCAACACTGTATGGCGGTGCTTGTAGCATATTCCTCTGACCCTAGAGTTTGGCCTGCACTGCTGCTTTTAGGAGCAGGAGGGACAGGTCTCGGGTTTGTTTGCTTTTCCTTTTTAACTGGTCTGGCCTCCATCATTCTCTAGCATTTGAGGTTGTGGGTATTTTGAGCATTTTGACTCATAATGAACCTTGTTCTCTTGATATGCATTTTAGAAGACAAATCTGACCTTGAAAACAGTGTGATGCAGAAGAAAATAAAAATCCCCAAACTTTCTCTCAATCACATAGAAGAAGATGGGGAGGTTAAAGATTATGGGGAAGAAGATTTACAGCTTAGACACATCAAGGTAACAAAATCTTTCCCTTTTTTTTGGAAGTTCATGGGGGCATTGTCAGAATCTTGATAGCTAGAATTCTAGTCTGGCCTCTTCTCCCCATATAAATGTCCTCCGGGAGTTTTTTCAGGTTGGGAGAGTCTTAGGACAGCTAGTGTGTGTTTGCCTTGCTGGCCAGCTTTCCAGGGACCCTGACTCATGCTGTGCCACCACACGCTGCCTGATTGCCCCATCTAGGCAGTGTCATCACTGCCGAGGGCCTGGAATGGTGCTTTCCTCTCTGGCCTCTAGCTCTGAGCTCCAGGAATATTAAACAGCCATCCTCAGGCAGCAGTTCAGAGCCTGTCACTATCAGATGGCCCCTAACAGCTAGGGGGGTAGGCTCGAGAGGAAACAGAATGTGCCGGGTTTACACAAAAAGTTTGTGGGACCCCGGGTTGGAAGAAAACTTTTACCTGAAGTTGCATCTCCTTTGAAGTGCCTCCCAGTTGGTCTCCTCCAGCCTTAACTTGTAAACTCACTGAATATCTTGTGCAATAAGCCAGATGTTTTTTTTCTGTAAAATGAGTGCCCCAGAGGGAAGGGAAGGAGAAAGAAGCCTGCCTTGATCATTGACCATGGTCTGATTTTGGACACAAGGTCAAGGATGTTCCCAAGGCATAGTCCCAGAGATGCGACTGAGTTCAGATGATGCATTCACTGCACCCGTGCTACGGGCCTGGCCCTGTGCTGGTCCCCGGGGTCACGGAGACCAGGCGGACGTGGTCACTGCCCTTGGGGTCTCACAGTGCTGTGATGCAGACAGTTACGTACAGTGATCAGTACGATTTCAGCAGATAAATTCATCTAAACTAGCAGCCCCTTCTCCCGATGGATAAAACGATGGGATAGGATTTTTGTCATCTAACTCAATCTCAGAAGCATGTTGTTTTTGTTGTTTCTGTTAAGCACCCAGAAACTTACCAAGAGGTTAAGGTGGGCTTGACCTGATGTAGTTAATTTGTCTGGAACCCACTGTCTTTGGTTGTCCACACCTCCCACAAGTGCCCCCAGTCAGGAGAGCTCCTGGCCCTCCTGCCTTGAGTGAGGAATTCGTTTGGTCCTGTAACTCCCACTCACCCTCAATGGAAGCCTTGTCTACTTGAGCTGCAATTTCCTCAGGCAGCTGAAACCCCAGCCCCTAGATAGTCCTGGATAATTTTCTTCTCAATGAACTATGCTCTATATGTCCACTGTCTTCCTGAGCTTGCACTTGGCGAGAGTCCGAGGATTGGCTGGCAGATGTGGGGGAAGGGACCTGGTGCTGGAAACGGGGCTCTAGGTTCCCGGCCTGCTGTGTCTGCAAGCTCACCATGTGACCCCAAGCGTAGTCCTTCCCCTCTCTGAGCCTCAGTGTCCTCACCTGGAAAGGGAGGGAGTTAAACTGAAGGAACTTCCAGTGCCAGCATTCTTTGAACTTTTCAGTTAAGTAAACATTTATCAAGCCCCTGCCAAGTGCCAGTTCTGAGTAGGCAGTGGAGGAACAGAGAAAATAAGACATGGCTCCTGCCCTAGATTAGAACAGATTAGAGGTCTTAGCGTCCTTCCCAATGAAAGCATTCTTGAGGAAAAGGTTACTGCTGGAATGCCCTTTGGTTTTTGTGTGTTAGGGGTGGGGGTGTTTTGTTTTGTCTTGGGGTTTTTTGCCTTTTATGTTTTTGTGGTTGAGGAGATTTGAGTGGTGACTCCCCTGGGATGGTTTGGCCTGGCCTGGTTTCTCACAGATTCTCCCCCAATATACATTAAACACCCCCATGTGCAAGTTCCTGCCTAGGCCCTATGGGCAGGGTGGGCATGGTGTAATGTGCACCAAGGAGGCAGAGTGATGGAATGGAAAAAGCACTGGCCTGGGAAACCACCACCTGCCCAACTCCACCACCAACTGACTGTGTGACCTTATGCAGGACTCTTCCCCACCCTGAATCTCCATTTCCTCATTTGTAAAATGAAAGGCTTTGACTGAGTGTTTGCACAGGTTTCTCCAAGTACTGATGTTCTGTGGTTCTGTGATTCTAGGATTGTCTGGGGAAATATTGAGCCGCAGTCCAAGAAAGTCCCAGCTGCCCTTGCCTGAACTGATTCTCGTTGTCCTACACAGAGACCCGAGGGGCGGAAGCCGAGCGAAGTGGCGCATAAGAGCATTGAGGCCGTGGTGGCCCGGCTGGAGAAGCAGAACGGCCTGAGCCTGGGCCACGGCACGTGTCCAGAGGAGGTCTTCGTGGAGGCCTCACCGGGCACGGAGGACATGGACAGTCTGGAGGATGCCGTCGTGCCCCGGGCTCTGTACGAGGAGCTGCTGCGCAACTACCAGCAGCAGCAGGAGGAGATGCGCCACCTCCAGCAGGAGCTGGAGCGGACTCGGAGGCAGCTGGTCCAGCAGGCCAAGAAGCTCAAGGAGTACGGGGCACTCATGTCTGAAATGAAGGAGCTCCGTGACCTCAACCGGAGGCTCCAGGACGTGCTGCTCCTGAGGCTTGGCAGTGGTGAGTGCCCCAGCAGGCTGCCTACCGCTCCACGCAGGGGGTGGGGGGCTTCGTGTGGCTCCTCTGCCAGGAGGTGTAGGCATGCACGGGGTGGGGACACAGGCCACGTGCCCCCGAAGCTAGGGCAAGGCAGAGGCTTGGCCCAGCATCGCCCAGAGGTAGAGCCACTCCCCTCCCACAGTGAGTGTGCAGGAGCCTCTGAGTGCAGCGGCCTCAGCCCCCTCGCACACAGTGGGCCACCTTGACAGGTGTGGTGCAGAGAACCTGGGCCGTCATTCCTTTAGGCATCCATTCAGCAACAGGCAATACTGGGGGCTGCAGGAAACCTCTCTATGGTGGTTCCAGGAACACAAAGAGAACTAGACATGGTCCTAAAAAGTGTATTGCCTAAGGTCAGAAAGCAATAAATGCCATGGGTGGTTGCAGAAAATGATAGTTTAGAAGTTGGGGGGGGTTGTTGGTAACTGAGGGAGACTTCGGGAAGGAGGTGGCCCTTGAGGCAGGCCTTGAAGGGTGGGGGTGTCTCAAGGCACAAGAGGAGGCAGGGACAGCAGGCCGCTGACGATGGGGAAGCGCCCGAGTGTGCTGAGAAGAGGTACCGCACGTGTAGTTTGAGGACAGGTGGTTGAAGACCTTGGAAACTGTGCCAGCCGGGGTGTCGGGCTTGTTTGAGAGGGAAGGAGGAACGCTAAACAGCTTTGAGGAAGAGGCACATGCCCTTGGGAGGATTAACACGAAGATGTAGAAAACTCCTTGGGTTTGCTCGTAGAAGAGCTGAAGAGGCTCTTAGCGCTGCAAGCAGTATTAACAAAGCCAAGGTTTAGGTTTTCTCACCTAACGTGGTTTAGAAGCTGGAATCAGGAAATTTAAAAAGCAGCAGCCTTGACAGCAGGGAGAAACAACTGCCTAGCAGAGAGAACAAGAGAGAAACCCTCTCTCAGAACACAAGACACCAGAATTGTAAGAGAGGCAGGTCAGTACTGCGGAAACCCGGGTAACACGGGTTCACAGCCTCCACGTCCCCGGAGGACAATCATTAATAACCCCGGGCCAGGGTTTTTCGCTTAAAAATGGGAGCAATCTAGTTTAGAAACACAAGTTCTATTCCCAAAGTTTGAATCAAATATAATTTTGCTCTCAAGAAGGAAGGTTTGTGTTATCTAGATAATAGGTTTCTATGTAAAGCCTCATTCATTCCTCTTTGATGTTTAGATAAATGTGCTCCTACCCTGCCTTACTTATATTTATAGGTACCTTTTATATTTTAAAGTGTGTTCCCGAGGCAGTGTCTCGGTAGATCTTCAGAAGGGCCGAGAGGCCTTTCCGTGCCTTTGTCGCAGAGAAGGAAACTGAGGTTGGGACTTACCCAGACTCACTGGGGAGTCAGAGACAGAATTCATGTCAGACCAAGTCCCCTGATACCTAGGCCAGTAATTTCCCCACTTTCCAACCCGGCCTTGGCCTCGACCCTTCTCCCAAGTTGTAGCCCGTCCAGGTGCACAGTGGCACGGAGGGTCACATGTGGTACACAGCGTTTCTATATCAAAATAAAATCTTAAAGAGAAGCCCTAACCATAAAAATTCGCAGAAGCTATATTGGTCCTGGAGTGGGGGGTGGGGAGAGAACTGGAGTCTTCAGAGAGAGGAAGTGTTTCCTGGTCTTCAAATGAATAATTTTTATTTTCACTTCACCTTGTACACTACACCTTTCTGTAAACTTCTTGTGGGGAAAAGCACAGTAACAACAAAAACTCTCCGCACCATTGTTTCGACTCCTAGGGAAACTACCTATTTTGTATGATCGTGAACTGGGCTTAAACTCCAGAAACCACTCCTGGACCTCTGGGGCAATACAACGCCTCTGTGTTTTGCATCACTATGTGCCATCTGTCGTCTGAAAACACTTAGGCACACTTGACCTCAGCCAGGTTCAGTGTCTTGGACTGTCCAGGCTCCTGTGCCGCACGGCCTTGAATGCCATCCTGAGGACGAGTGGCAGGCTCTTCCCTGATCAGAGTCCCCGTTGTCTTCACAGTGCGTGGGCTGCATGTAAGGCAGCTCAAGCCGCAGGTGTGTGTGGAGTGGCCACCACGTGCATGCCCCGTGCTCTAGGGGCCCTGGGCATCTGGAACACCACACGGATGGTCTCTGACCTGGAAAGGCTTAAAGTCCGTTGGTTAGCCCTTGTTGATTGGAGAATAATAATGTGCCACAGTCTGAGACAAATCCACAGGAGTATAATAGAAGGGTTTCTACCCTGAGGGGAGTTTGTATCTTTGCATGGATATGGTCTAGTCTCCCGAACCCACCAGGCCCGGATTCATACCCAGCTTTCCTGCTTCCCACCCTGGCTTTCGGAACATTCTTTCCTTCTTTCCTTCTTCCCTTTCTTCCTTGCTTCCTTCCCTCCTTCCCTGTTTTCTTCTTCTAGTTATTCCCTGGTCTCCTGCCGTGTAGTGGTGAGAGTTTGACCTATTTCACATATAGCCCTTGTCTTCTGCCCTGGAAGAGGTCGGTTTGATGAAGGAGGTAACCACTGACACAACTAGTGACAGCACTGGGCATAAATGTCACCATGAGGACAAAAGCACGTGGGACCATGGGACTGCAGAGAGGGGCGCCCACAGAACTGGGGCGGGGGGGGGGTTGGGGAAGAAAGGCTTCCTGAAGAGAAGAGAAGAGAAGAGAAGAAGGCTTCCTTCCAGAGAATACCTCTCAGACCTTTGGTGTTCTCCTCTGCAAAGTGGAAATAATAATTCCCCTCACAGCCTTGTGACGCACGCATGGCACCTGGCATTCTGGCTGGGGCCCGCTTACCATCGGCCTCTTTCTCACACCACCTGGTGGAGGGGCTGACAAGGGGCCCTGTTCGGTTTTTAACTGTCTCCCCTAACTAGTAATTGGCTGTATGACCTTGGGTGGGTTAGCTAACTTCTCTGTCAGGGCCTTTTAGTAGAGAAGATAACAGGCAATACGCATGTGTCTGTATATGTTAACTCATCCAACACTGACCATACGCTTTCTGAGCCTAGGGGCCTAGAGAGATACAAAGAAGACTAAGACGTTGGAAGCTGGGGTGTGGGTAGTGATGGAGGTAAACACGTAAGCATAGGGTTGAAATGCAGTCTTCCGAGCCCTGGAGGAAGGGGGCTAGCCTAGAGCCTTTGAAGGTGGAAGTGTCTTGGTGAGTCTGGGAGGACACCGCCCGCTGTAACAGCACCTCATCTGTACAGGTCAGCAGGAAACTGGTAACGTGGCAGAGGAGAGCCAGAAAGTGCCTAACACTGTCCTCGTTCTTGGCGTCATATGTCCCGAGAGCACGTCCTGAGCTATACCACCCTTGGCCCCCTGAGCCTGACCCAAGCAGTGTTCTTAGGGGCCCTTCCTTGCGCATTTTCTACCGTCCACCTTGTCTGGGGGCCCAGCTCAGTGGCCTCTGTCCAGGTGGGGTGCTGGGCCATCTGCAGCATAACAGGCAGGTGCAGAGGCAAGAGAGGCCCCTGGGTCAGCGATGCTCAGTTTTAAGAGGAAGGCTACCTGCTTGGGAGAATCCTTGCTGACTGCCCCAGACCCTGGGGTCCCGCAAGGTGGTAGATGAGAAGGCGCAGAGAGTGGGAGTGTGGCCCCTGAGCAGAGTGCTGAGCGGCCCTCCAGCAGCCAGGAATTGTCACCGTGCGCCCGGTGGAGGTCAGGGCCCGAAGGGAAGAGGACAGCAGCAAGATAGCATAAGAGACCTCCCTGGATGGCTCACTGCTTCCTTTGCGTACTTACTAACTCATCTTTCATTCGTTCCATGAATACACACAAGCTGGATGTGACAGGACGGATTCTCTAGAGCAGAGAGCACTGGGGTTGTGACAGAGCTTACCCAGGGACTGAACCAGTGCCCTCGTGTTGCTGGTGAGACAGGCCCAGAGCGCGTCACAGGCCTGTTGCCAGGGGTCTCCTGACACCGGGTCCCACATGCCTCCCTGCCCTCACCTACATGGCCTCCTTTAACCCCTGAACTTCATCGTCACGGCTGTGGGTGTGGCTCCTCTGCCCCCATGCCCCACAAAAGACGTCTTCCCTGTGACACAGAACGTGCCTTCTGTGAGGGGAGCATGGGAAGTAGCCCCCTCTGATGAGCCCCATGCTCCCTGCGAGGGTCACTCCTGTCAGGGCCTCTGTGACAACATCAAGCTTAAGTGAGGAGGCAGATGTCAACAATAAAGCCATGTGACCAGCACGTTATGTTTAATAAATGCCAGGCTCTTTCTCCTTTGGTGCCCTCTTTTGCCCCCCCCCCCCGCCCCTGCCAAGGAAGCAAGTGCTGAGGACTCAGAAGGCATGTGGATATTCCAGCTGCTAAAGTACAGATTCATTTGTGCATACATCCATTATTTTCATTCATTCGGCAAATATTTACGCCTCCTTGGTGCCAGGACTGGGTTAGGTGCTAGGAATATAGAAACAAGACGGTCCCGTTTTTAAAGCCAGAGCCTTAGAGTTCGCTTAATGGGGGCTTGGCCGACTGGGAATTCCAAGGGCCTGGCGGGAAGCACACCTTGGGCAGCCAGTTGCCAGGGGGAGCTTGGGTGTACAAGGGGGACTCCGGGGTCTCTCTCGGTTTCTACTGGGCCCCGTCCCTTGTATCAGAGGTCAAAGACAAAAGCTTAGATATTGTCCTCAGTGTTAGCACAAGTGCCTCTCAGTGAAGCTCGTTTTGGTGCAATTCAAGTGATTTTAGTTCAGCTGATGCCAGAAAGGGCTCTGTGAGGGATATAGAGAAGGGGACACAATCGCTGCCTTCGAGGTGCACACTCAGGCCAGTGGGGGCACACACGGTACCCAGCACCACTCCAGGCAGAACAAAGCAAGTGCTATAATTGCAGGAGGGAGGCACATACTGGTTTTAGATTTTGGGTGTGCTGTGTCAGGGAACGTAGGTGGAAATGATGGATTCGGACCAGGAAGAGGCATGGGCGATGAGCGCAAGAGCAGTAATTCACACGTGCGTG